GAAGGGTGGAGGGCGTGAAGGGAGGGCTAGGAATGGGGAAAAAATAAGAACCAAGATGCATTATGTAAAGGTACAATCCCCAGTGAGAAATGTAATTGTGTTGTATACCTACAATGTACCAATAAAAGAATTTAATACAAAAAACAAAACAAAACTGGCTATTCCATTCAAAAGAGTGAATTTATCTTGCACCATACCAAAAAATCATTCATATTTATATAAAGACTTACATGTAAGATTTGAAACTGTAACGCCCTGAGGGTAAAAAAGAATAAAACAAAACACAAAACAAAACAAAAAAACAGGAAAAAAAATCTCCTTGATAATGGTCTTGAGAATTATATATATATAAAACAGCAAAAACACGGGTTTCTTGTTACATTATTATTTTTTAATAATAAAAAATTAGGGAAGAAACCCCTAAAAATACCTTAACTGGATAAAGGTACAATAAATGCAGCATAGAACAGGTCACACAAATGAGCAAAGTGAGCAACGTGGTAATGCTACCTTCTGTCTAAAAGGAAAAAAGCAAGAAGATAAAAATGTGTTTGCCTAAGCATAAAATATTTCTGAGACTATATACAAGTAACTGATATCACTCTTGTTAAGCTAGAGAGTGGGAGAAAATCTTTACTTTGTTTATGTTTTTTGTACTTTTCGAATTTTGAAAAGTCTAAATTGTGCAAAAACCTACTATTAGAATTCTGAATTCAATTTTTATCGACTAAATGATAGCTATTAAGTTTTTATAATTAACGCCTAATCTTTTCATTTCTGGCCTATAAGAGGGGAAAGATTCATATAATACCTTCTCTGTCCACCTTCCCTAACACCACTAATTTACATATCTGTTTAGAAAACATCTGAAAAGAATACTCTCTATGCATAAAAGGTGACCAATGAACACTACAGGATTGGGGCCTCTAATGAAGAAGGCTGCACAGCTACAGATATGAATACATATGAAAATGAAGCCACTTAAATCTGTCTCCAAGCACTCTCTGCTTTATACACATCAAAAGCACTTGATCTCTTTGTCTAAAACTCTCTTCATGAAGAAACTTACATGGGTAAAATAGTTTCTAGATTGGAATGTCTCTAAGGAAGGGGGAAGGGTGAAATACGTACAACTCTAATGTCCTGAGAATTATTATTCAGCCATGTTAATCACACACAATTTAACCCACATCCTTGTGACAGTTTCTTGTTAAAATATGCTCAAGTGAATTATGTAAATGGTCTATTTTTAAATGTATCTTAAGAAATATACGGAAGCAGACGGCAAAAATTTACCCAACGTTCCCACATTAATTAAATGCCAACCATGCCAAGCACCGTGCTGTAAAATCAAAGATAAACAGACATGAAACCCAGGCAAAAAGAGGGAGAAATTCCAGATAAAATATACTCACAGTAGTAAAATTTCAAGCTCAGATAAAAATTTCTTCAAATGTTTCTTATATTGCATTTTTTTGTCCTAAATATAATAAAGAAAAGACAAAAATTAGTATCTTTTTGGGGGGTATAAATCCATTTGCAAATTTTTCTGGAGTGAGGATCCTTCACTTTCAACAGATTTTCAAAAACTCATTAACCCTGAGCTGGGGTTTTAGCTCAGCGGCACCACGCCTGCCTTGTAAGCTCAAGGTCCTGAGTTTGATCCCCGGTACCAAAAAAAAAAACCTCATTAACCTCCAAACAGATTTAGAACTAGTGTTCTTCTTCTTTTCTTCTTTTTTTTATTTTTTCATGGTACCGGGGATTGAACGTAGGACCTTGTGCATATGAGGCAGGCGTGGTGCCACTGAGCTAAATCCCCGGCCCTAGAACTACAGTTTTTGAATTAAAATTTTTCACGTAATATATTATGTTGCCAAATTTTATATTCAAACTTCCACCATATTTTTAAACATGTGCAAAATTAAAAATTATATATATATATATATATATGGAAAATCTCATGAGAGTTAGAAACTCTTCCCTTGATCTCACAAAGAAAACAATTTATGTAACCTGCAATCTCCTGCAGAATTTTACTATTTTGGCATTTGTGAGTTGGTTCGTTTGGATATGCTGATTCAAGTGATTAATTTTGAAAAGATAAGCCTAATAAAGAAATAAATGAAAGTATAACTTGTTACTACAGAAAAGCTTCAAAGGCTCACTCAAAGCTTGACACATGAATACTGAATAAATTGACAAGTTTAATGATACCACTGTTCTTAGCCCTTATGTTGTACTTGGCACATTCTTGATGCCTTCAAACATGTCGTATCTTTGCATGTTCCTAGATCTCAGGTTCCTAAATTATGCCATGAAAGAGTTAAATTAAGTTTGCTTCTAGATCTAGTCAGCTGTAAGGTGCTCACTTGCAAACTGGTAGAAAGGGAAGAATTTTTAGAGCTCTATCTTCAGAAACAAAGAGAAAAATCCAGCAGGAATTCTTGAAGTTATTTTCTAAGCTAAATCAGAAACAGTAATCTGGGCTAACAAATCATGTCCAAGGACCACTTTTATCAGAAGTTACATTTTACATGTTCACTGTCCTAGGGGAAGATTAGGTCTCCACTATTTGTCACTTTTTACCAGTCATTTAATTTCTCTGAAGTCATAATTTTCTTCAACTGAAAAATGAAGGTGTTACTTTTCATGTTTCTGCTCACCCAGCACTCTAACACCTTGTTGCTAAAAGTGTGGTTTTATGTACCCCTCACCCACCCACCAAAAAACACCAGCTACACTGGGAGCTTGGCGAGCAATGCTGAATCTGCTGGGCTCATGCTCAGATCTGTTGAACCAGAATCAGCATTACAAAATGATTCCCAGGTGATAGGATAAATATTAGCTTGAGAAGCACACATCTGACATGTGAAGTAAAATTCCTCATTTTCTCACTTCAAGTTGTTGAAGGTAATGTCCCAAAGTTATAGAATTAAATTTCTTTTAAAGATGTTCTGTGGTTAAGACTTCATTAAGTGATCTTATGTTTCCTGATAAATGTGAATGTATGAGTATGTGTGCGCATGCGTGTGTTTGTGTTGTGTATCTGTCTATCTGAGTGTAGGCTAGATTGGTAAGGGGGATGGGGATAAAAGTAGAGGGAAAAAGTCCAATCATACTTCCACTAACTAACTTAAAAAGAGTTAAAATGTAAAATAGGATCACCGACAGCAGGACTTTGTTCAGTCCTTCAGAGTCATTAGGTCTTTTTACTCTTAGTGCTTAGCAACTAAATTCTTGAAAGGGGATGTGTACTTATTCAGTTCATCCAACAAACACTTAATGATGGATGCATGGTGGTGCAACCTTGTAATCCTACAATCCAGGAAGTCAAGGCAGGAGAATCACAAGTTCAAGTCCAGACTTAGCACTTTAGTGAGACCTTGTCTCAAAAAATAAAACAAAAACTAAAAAGGGCTGGGGATGTTCCCAGCATTCGCTAACATGTGTGAGACTCTGAGTTCCATCCCCATCTCTAAAAAAAAGAAAAAAGAATGAGACAGCCTCAATAACAAGGCAATTGGGCACTAGGATACAAAGACAAGAATTCTTCAAAGACAGCCAGTTAATCCCACTGGGAAACACAGATGAAGAAATCAGTAATATGAAATAAATAATGCTGTCGGATGGTCATCCCAACCATACTGGAGAGGTTAAAAATCACTCATCTGGAGAACAAGAAGAGAAGGGAATGCAAAGGCAATGAAATTCCATTCTAAAATCAGACTAATGGAAAAAAACTCCCAAACAGGAATGTGATTTGCTAGTAGCTGCAAAGAAAAGACTGCAAAGACACTTTGGGTGGTGGACCTTGGGCTCAACCATAAAATATTATAAAACTGGGGCCAGAATTGGCACTAAGAAACAGGCTTCAGTTAGGCAACTCTAGAGCAACCACATTCTATTTTTTAAATGGTTTTATGAGTAGATTTTTGTTATTATACTGCTCATTTTCTCAGGAACCATGACATATCTACATAGAACAAGTGGTACAAATTACAATTTTGGAAAATGAAGAAATCAGATAAATAATTCTTTACAGACTCTGTAATATACAATAAGCTGAAAACTAAAGATTACTTTAGATCGGGCTGGGGATTTAGCTCAATGGTTCTGCCACCTGCCTCACAGGTACTAGGGTCCAGAGTTCAATCCCTGGTACCCCCCCAAAAAAAGATTACTTAGATCTCTCCTTCTCCCCTATGTCCCAATCCTAACTAAAAGGTCACTAGATTTGGTCCATTTCACCTCCTATCTTAGACACACCTCCTTACCTTCTGCAATCTTTGCCCTCTCCTACAGCAGTGCAGTTGTACTTAGATACCCATGTAATTCAGACATGCAATAGAGTTAAGCCCTGTCCATACCTTAGTTTATACATCTAAATATCCCTCTACCAGGTCTTTCTTCCTGTAGTCTAGTTCTTATCATCTTCCTTCAACCACCGCCCCATCAAATTTCAACCTCATTATCTAGCTTTTAATTGAAGTTATATTTAAAGACACAAATCTAAGCTTTACATTCTCCTACTTAAAAAGCATCCACAGGTTAACCTACAAGGGATGATCAAAACATATGGTATGTTTAAATTTGAAAAAATTTATTATAGTAAAAGACACATTGCTATTAATCCTCCCTCAAAATACTATCCCTCTTTTTAAACATACTTATCCCATCATTCTTGCCACTTCTTTTTAAAAAATTAATTATGTTTATTGGTACATTTTAGGTATACATAATGATCACATTCATGATAGGGAATTTTACCTGTACATGATATATGTTGAGTATTATTTTTTCCCATTCCCCTACCTCCCTTCAACCCCTCTTCGCCTCCTTATTTACAAAAGCTTTGTTTCCATTTTTCCTTTTCTCATTTTTTTTCCTTTCTCTTTCTTCCTTTCCACCCTCCTCCCTTGTTCCCCATCCCATTTGAACATTTTCTTCCTCTTTTACAATATCTACTATACATTTTGGTCCTCAATTACACTTTCAGTTTCTCACACCAGAGAAACAAGTGCCCTTAAGAGGTGTGACCAGAAATATGGTGAATGTTGCTGTGGAGTGACATCCCAACAGAAAGGCAGGCTTATAAAAACATTATGGTGTGTGCTTGTCCACCTTATTGATCAGGACTGGCACTGCGTGATTTCTGGCTTGTCCCCAAAGTCAAAGACAAGGGTTTTGAATCGATTCAGAACATTGAGGCAGTTAGAAAAGCACAACTAAAAGATATTCAGAACTTCTTCAGAAAGTGACAAGAATGATGAGACAGGTGTGTTTGAGAAAAGGAGGAGTATTTTGATGGTAATTAATGGTAATGTATCTTTTACTGTAATAAATTTCTTTAAAAAGTAGTCTAACCCTTCACCGTATTTTTTGATCACACCTCATATCTTTTCAGTATCATCTTTTGTCACTACCTTCCCACCCCCGACACTCTTCACTTCACTCTACCAAATGAACTGTTATGCATGAGTAAGATCTATGCTTCTATACATACACCTCCAGGCCTTTCTACCTACTATTTGTTCCACCTTTACTTCCCCTCCTTCATTGTCTTCTAAAATTCTACCCATCCTTCAAAATCCACCTAAAATCTCATATTTCTTTCATCCATGTTTCCTTTTTTTTTTTGAGATATGCCTATTGAGCAGTTACTCTGCTCCAGATATTCTTCTAGGTGTTAGATGCATCATTCCTCTGGGTGGAAAGACGCTACCTTTTATGCACTCCCAGGCTCTTTTGTACAAATCTCTGCTAAAGTACTTCTCTCCAGCAGTTTAATATTTTCTTAAGTTGGCAAATGCCCATGAAAGACTGTGAGCACCATGAGGACCGAAGTATGCCTTTTTCATCTCTACATACACGGATGCCCAGTTCATAGGAGTTGGCTGTTTGCAGATTGTTGACTAACAGTAAAGAACATGAAGTTCAGCTCTTTTGTGTGTCTGTGTAGGTACCTATCACTTAAGACTCTGGAGGTTGATTTGCTAATTCCCTTTCTGCTTTACTGGCTACAGTACCTCAACTATTTTCCAACTTCCACCTGCTCTGACAGTGAGCTTGTTGTTCCTACTTAAAGCCTCCTCTTTCCCACCCTCCTAAATTGTGACAGAAGACAACTTATGAAGTAGTACTGAATGCCTATCAGTGGTGTAGCTCTGAAGCTGCCTGAAAAGGACAGTGCTCATCCTAAGAAGACTAGCACAGCCTAATCCATTAAGCAAAGTCCTAGAGGCCCTATGTAGCTTTGCAAAAAGTTCTTTTTCATGCAATATATCTGAGGATGGGAATGATTTAATTTCCATATTCCTACAAAATGGACATCATTTCTCAGTCAGCACTCTAGTCATATATTTTATTTCCATTTAGGAAATTTTATTTTCAAATACATATCCTTTTAATGTTAGTGAAAAATGACATATTTTAATATGAAACATGATCAAGTAAATGGAATGGATATTCTGTAATAGTAATTCTTTTCATACCTGTTTAAATAATTTAACAGCATATGTTTGGTTTCGAAACTCCACCTTGTATACCTGGAAAATCTCCCCTTCACCAATTAGGAAGTCTTTGTGGAAATTTCTGGTTCCTTCTATGATATTTTGAAAGCTGATGGAGGACTTAAGCAATATTCCTTAGAAAGGAAAAATAGGGAGAAGGTAAGCCACCTTTTCTTTTCTCTTTTTAAGAATCAATGTCAAAAAAAAAAAAAAAAGAATCAGTGTCATTGTGATAACCAGGACTTCCATAATGGAAATACATTAGAGCCCAGTGGAAAGTCAGTAGTAAAAAGCCCATGAACCCAAACTGAAGCCCAGCACATGCTCTCTCCTCATTTATTAGAGCCTGGTTCTCATCATATTTGGACAAGTATTACAGTGATATATTTTTTTGGTACTGGGGATCAAATTCGGGTCCTTGCGCTTGTGAGACAGGAGGTGGAACCACTGAGCTAAATCCCCGGCCTCAAATATTACAGTGATTTTATCCTCTCTCCAAAGAGATCAGCCAAAGAGCATGCTTAGGAAAACTTTTCCAATATTATGTTTTATTGTCAATGTAAAGCTATTGACCCATTATGAACCTAAAACCACTAAAAAAACAAAACAAAAAAAACCTCTGAAGTGGAACTCTTGATATGTTTAAACAATATTCTCCAAGCATGACTAACAGAAATAGCTTTCATAACCTAAACCCTCCCTAATGGCCTAATTTAGAGTAAATTAGGAAGACAACCCACTTTTTAAAAATCATCCAAAGGGAGATTGGGAAAAAACATTTAAAATAATCTAATACAAAATTTTTTTAAATGCTTGGCTAAATCCATCAGAGCCAAACATGCACTGTATTTCCTATGCTAATAGAGAATACTCCCTAAAGACATTTACAATTTGACTTAGATATGATTGCTAAAGAATAGAAACTTTAACCTTTTAAATTTTCTTTTCGACAAAAGTAGCACCAGATCTAGTGACAAAAATAAGGCAAGCAGCTGGGCATGGTGGTGGGGTAGGGTGGTGCATGCCTGTCCTCCCAGCACTCAGCAGGCTGGCACAGGAGGATTGCTCCTAGTTCAAGGCCAGCCTGGGCTACATAGTGAGTTCAAGGCCAGCCTGAACTACAAAGCAAGACCCTGCCACAAAAGAAAAAGACAAAAAAAAAAAAAAAAGATAAGGCAAGGCAGCCTTAAATAGAATTTTGTCAGAGTGATTTCCAGGTGGGACTAAATTATGCTCTCTACTAAAAAAGTAAAAAAGTTAATGAGAAAACTGAATTCTTATATAGACCTTCAGCATTGCTCTATAACCATCTGAAAAGATTTTTACAACTGCTACGAAATTTTTTTTTTTTGGTACCAAGGATCAAACTCGGGCCCTTGAGCTTGAGAAGCAGGCAGAAGAACCACTGAGCTAAATCCCCGGCCCAAAATTTCTAAAGCTATATAAAGGGACATGAGTTTTAAAATGTTTTCTTATGACACATAAAAGTAGCAAACTTTACTAACAAAGAAAGTCCCCCTATGAGAAGAGAACACAATTATATTCTTCATTAGTCAAAGGATTCTTAACATTACACAGACTCATCCACCAGAACTATAAACATCATCCAAAATTCAAAATATTTTAAAATCTGTGAAAGTTTTATACTGAATCTGGATATAAACGGTTAAGATGTTTATTGGGTACGCTCCTATCTAAATTCACTTACATGACTTAGAGAAAAAGTTGATTTGTTTACCTTTTTCATTATGTTCAGGAACAGGAACATTATCTACTTTGACATTGGCTGCTTCCTAAAAGAAAAAAATACATACTAAGGTAATTCCATTTCATAATTTAAGAAAAAGACAGAGCCTTAACAGAAATCCAAAGTTCCCCCATGAGACTAGAGTGCAACACAGCAGAATTTAATTTAGAAGAAAGCTAGTATAAAGTGAAGTTATTTCACTTCACTCAACAGCATTCATTGCTATACCGTATATATTCAAGACCTCCAAGTCAACTGTCAAAATTCAAGTATCAATGCCACAGTCTATTATAAATGACTTCTAGTGCTATAAAAATCACTAATCTGCTATAATAAAAAGTAACAATAACATGCAAAACATCAACTAGAAAAGGAAAATTAAAAACTGAGTTAAAACAAATGTACAACTCATAACATCCTTAATAGTGCTAAGTCTAAGCTCTGACAGATTACACAAAAAGCAAGGCTTTTACTTTTCAGATATTTACAAATCTCTGATTTCCTGAATTCTCAACTGAACAGCGAATTATCAGATAATAAAGGCATTTTTCATTTTTAAAAAAATCACTTGCATATCCAACACTTTTCTGCCAGAGATTTCGTTTTTATACTCAATTATATATGAGCAACAGCATCCCAGGGTCATTTTCTATGCACACATGCTCTACCTTGGCTGGTATGTTTGGAAATCCATATTCTTGATGACTCTGCTTTAAAGGATGAAAGCCTGTTCCTGAAAGAGAAATAAAGAAAGCTAGTACAAACATTTTTATGTTTCTATTTTTTTTTTCTTTCTGAGATTGAAAATAAGTATCTTGCTAGTAATGTTCATGTCTATAGTTTAGTTTCACTCATATGGAATGGTTACAAATTTACACATGTGAAATAGTTTTCCAATGATCAAATATTACACAAATATTTTTTCACTTAAAACATGAATTGCTGCTTTAAATTATCATCAGACATCATTAAAATACAAACTAGAAAATTGAAAGCAAAAATGTAAAATTGTTACCAGCTTTTTGTACATATATTTAAAATTTTTAAAGTTATAAAATTATATTTCTGTGGGCTAGTTTATTAATTTATTTAACTTTTGGTATCAGGGATCGAACTCAGGACCTTGCGCTTACAAGGCAGGCCCAGCAGCACCACTGAGCTAAATCCTGGACCCGGTTAGTTTATTTTTATACCATTTTATGCCATAAGGTATTATAGGTGGTTGTGTGTCAGTGTGTACGTGTTATGAACCACCCATATTCACTTCCTATTCCCAAATATAGACTATTACTATGTTTTTTATAGTTCTTCCTGCACTGAGGGAATCAATATAGCTTTCTACAAATTATTAAAACCTTGCTGTTTCACTGTCATTTCTAACATTTTGAATCAGACTTCAGAAAATTTTTTTCACCTTCCAGTTTTTCTTAGATTATGTTGCAGTGTTTAATTATTTTGATAAGAAAACTAGTAATTAATAACAAAATTATTAAATAACACTATAAAACAACTAGATCTTATAGACATTTATAGAACATTCCACCCAAAACAGAATATGCACATGATTCTCCAGTGCATGCTGGACATTCTCTAGAACAGGTCAAATGGTGAACAATTAAGTAATCCTCAATCCAGTCATGGTGGTGCATGCCTGTCATCCCAGCACTCAGAAGCTGAGGCAGGAGGATTGCTCCTAGTTTGAGGCCAGCATGGGCTACATAGTGAGTTCAAGGCCAGCCTGGACTACATAGCGAGACTGTCTCAAAAACAAACTAACAAACAAAACAGATAGATAAGCCTCAATATATTTGGAAGGTTTTAAATCATACAAACTATATTTTCTTTTTTAAATTCATTTTTATTACTATGATGATCCATTATGAATGTATTTATTATGTATTGCAAACAATGTATATTTTCTGATCACAAGGTAATTAAAATAGAAATCAGTAACAGAAGAAAATTTGTGAAGGTCACAGATATGTAGAAATTAAACAAGAAATTCATAAATAACCAATGAGTCAAAGAATTCACAAGGTAAATTAGAAAATACCTTGAGATGAATAAAAATGAAAACCCAACATAACAAAACCTATGGGATGAAACATGAGCAATGTTTATAGGAAAATTTATAACTGCAAATGCCCACCTCAAAAAAGGAGAAACACTTCAAATCAACCACCTAAATTTTCACCTGAAGGAACTAGAAAAAGAAAAGCAAACTAACCTGAGGCGAGCAAAACAAAGGAAATGATAAAAATCAGAGTGGAGATAAATAAAAAAGAGAAAAACAAAAAAAGAGAAAATCAGTGAAACCAAAGTTAGTGCTTTGCAAAGAGGGAGAAAAAAAAAAAAGACAATCCTTTAAATAGATTTACCAAGAAAGAATGAGAGAAAACACAAATTACTGAAGTTGAGGACACATCCCTACCAAGCTCACAGAAACAACAAGAATTATAAGGTTCTATAAGTTATCCTATGAACAACTGTATGCCAAAAAATTAGGTAACTTTGACAGGGAAGATTCCTAGAATGACACAAATTACTCAAACTAACTCAACAAGAAACAATCTGACTGCACATACAACAAAGAGATTAAATTAGTATTACAAACTTCTCATAAAGAAAGAGTCAGGCTCAGGTAACTTCACTGGTTAATTCTATCACACATTTAATGTTTAACACAAATCCTACACAAATTCTTCAAAAATAGGAGAGAACAACTCCTAAATTATTCAATGAGGCCAGTATTATTCTGAAACCAATGCTAGGCATAGATATTACAAGGAAAGTACAGAGCAAGATTTCTTAGTAATACATATGTAAAAATTCTCACCAAAATAATAGAAAACCAAAGTGAGAAATATATAAGAAAGATTATGTGCCATAATTGAGTTGGATTTATCCAAGACATACAAAATTTGTTTAATATCTGAAAATAAATGTAACACGCTAGAAAAATAGAATGAAGAATAAAAACTGTATGTTCCTCTCAAGAGATTGCAAGAAAGCATTTGGCAAAATCAATACCCTATCATGATAAAAATCCATAAATAAACCCTAAAAACAGATGAGAATTTTATCAATTCGATACAGGGCATTTATTAAAAAACCCATACAGTTACAATCATACCTAATGGTAAAACACTGAATGTTTTCCCCTACAGATTATACTAAAAGATCTAGCCAAAGCAACTAGACAAGAAAAAGTAACAAACATCCAGAATTAGGTACTGTCATATAGAACAAAATTTGAATTTGGGGGGCTGTAAAGGCACTAAAAGCAATCATCCTGGGCCGGGGATTTAGCTCAGTGTTTCTGGTGCCTGCCTCGCTAGCGCAAGGTCCCAAGTTCGATCCCCAGTACCAAAAAAAAAAAAGCAATCATCCTTTTGTTGTTAATAAAGTCATAAAATGAAAGATTAAAATGATTCTTCTGAGAAGACTGTGGAAAGCTGTAGATTTCATATCAAACTGAAAACTCCTGATCATTGAAATACAAAAGAGAAATGGGTATGTAAGGACGTGACCACCAGAAAACATAACAACAGTAAGTAAACATTCTAATTTCAACAATTTGATTATGGGGAATGTTTTAAATCTGTGCATAAACCATCTAGTGGCAGCAACCTGGATTACAGGAAAAGTTCTGGGTGGAAAAACAAAGCCTTTTCAAAAAGTAAGACTTAGAAGACAATTCAAATCTAGAAAGACACATCTGGAAGTTACAATGTGACCAAGTATTCCTCTAAAAGTCATCCCATCAAAGAGGACAAAAATTAAAGAATGGTAGACAAAAACTGATTATCTGAATAACTGATAAATCTGTCCATGGTAACAATATAGAAAGACTAAATCTTCTTATGCATTTCTCCGTTAGAAGCTTCAACTCCTAATTCAGGAAGTGGCTACAAGAATTAGCTACAGCTTGACCTGTTCAGCAGGGTACACGTTTCCAAAGAATCATCACATTTCACTTTTGACAACCTGTACAATTTTCAGGGACGGGGTGGAGGAGGTTAGGGCATCTGGTACTAAGGATTGAACTGAGGCCCTTCACACTGAGCTACATCCCAAGTCTCTTTTTTTTTTTTTATTTCTGGGACAAGTTCTCTTTACATCGCTAAATTGTCTGGGCTGGACTTGAAGTTGTATTACTCCTGTCTCAGCTTCACAAAGCACCCAGGAGTGTACCACCATACCCAGCTACAATGAACTTCAAAATTATGATTCAGTTCAAGGTATCAACTCAATAAATTACAATTAAATAATAGTATTTTCTTTAGTAAAAAGACTTAGAGTAAGGCATTATTCTCATGTTCATCTCGAATTTACCTAACTCCTGCTACTAGAACAGTAAATAATTATCTTTCTAATCAGCTAATCTCATTATTTTAAAAAATGAAAATATGCAGCAGAGTAGGAGTCAACCAGGAATGTGGAATTTTTGTCTAGTTAGTTAAATCACTCTCTATTGCATAAATAAACAACACAGAGATGAAAATATACCCTGAAATCTATTCCAGAACACTGAAGTATAAAACACACCCATGTGTCCTTTTAAATTGGTATAGGTTTATACTGTGAACAACAAGCCTTGTGGGTAGCTTCAGTGGCTGGAAAATGCTCAAATAATGAAAATATATTCCATGTGCAATTCCCAGGGACCCTACCTTTAACTTGCTCAGATTCAGAATGAAGCACACTGTTGTACTAAACGAAGTGAGAAAAAGAGTAGACAAAAGGTTAAAGAATGACTAGCCAAGTTATATAGATAATATCATGGTAAAAACTTATTAGGAACTAATATCCCATTAATTGTAAAATAAAACTCATTCTGAAGCTATAATTTTCTGGTACATATTGCTCATGATTTATCCTTGTATGTGTAAATCTTATTTAAATAATAAGGGAGAGGTTCCTATACACTAAATAAGTTACCAAAGAACATGTGTGCAAATATACAAAACTGAAAATATAGATATAGTGGGCCAAAGAATAAAGACATGGATTCAAAAGTGTCCAACCCAAGGATCCCTAGTCTATCACACAAAGGCTTGGGATCACTCAAGATCATTATTGTCTCAGTAAATCCAAGTGGAAGAAACAGATCAGATGATGGTAAGATACTATTTTACTGACAAAAAAAAAAAAAATTAAGAAAATTTTATGGGCTCTATTTATCAGAATCAAAACAGACAAAGAGAAGAATTATGGAATGAATGACAGGCAAGTAAGGCAAAGTTAAGACTACGGCATAATAAAAGCAGTGAAGATACAAAAAATCCAAGTCCATTCTGGAGGCATCATTTGCACTAAAATACATGGAGAAAATCTAATTATATTTCTAAATTCTAATCATATAATAAAACAAAGGATAGCATTATCTGTATCTGTACTTTACTTAAATATTATGTCTTTTTTTTTTTTTTTTTTGGGTACCGGGGATCGAACTCGGGTCCTTGCGCTTGCACAGCAGGCGGTGAAACCACTGAGCTAAATCCCCGGCCCTAAATATTATGTCTTGATTGTTATGATTCAAAGAGTTTTTCAGTTTTTGGAGTTGATTCTCTTAGCTGTTAGAAATGACACATTTTAAAGCCAGTAATTTGCAAATAAAAGTAAAAAATACATATAAAGCAGTAGAAAGGAATACATTGTATAAGTTAGGCAATATGGGAAGAAAACATCACACACACACACACACATGTGCATGCATCTACACGCATGTGAAGCTGCAAGGTCCTCTGCAGATGAAAGTGACAAGTAAGGAATCTTTGAGACGAAACATGATGAGTCTATGTTTCAGGCAAAACACATTATTTCCATTTATAAATTACAATTCTTATAGGACAGATCAAGAACAATATTTTAAGAATGTGTTTACCATGCTTCGTAATTAAATGAATAGCTCGATGATGCTCCATGTCCTGGAGAATCTGTAAAAGGTCACCGATGGTCTTGTTTTTCTGGGCCCAGGACCATAGCAATTCTCTTGTTCCACTTTTACCTTGATCTACATATTTTTCAATGTGACGAACATCCAGCCAGCTACTTGAAAGTCTCTCTGCTATAGAAATTGCAATAGAAAGAACAAAGAATAGTTTACTTTTATTGGAATATTTGTCTTTGTTACCTTATATATTTTATTTTATTTCATTTTATTTATAATTTTATTTTGAACTAATTTAGCATATACTCCCTACCCATCTTCCATTAATATTCACTTTACTAACCATAGTACAACTACCAGGATCAGTAATAACTAAATTGCAACCCTTATTCTAATTTCAATAGTTCCCCTAATGTATTTTTCTGTTCACAGATCTTATTGTTTCCCTCATTGCATTTAATCATTTCTGCTCTGAATCTCCTCCAAACTGATTCCTCAGTCTTTCCTCACTTTTCAGGACAGGGAAATGATAGCATCCTTTTCAGGGCATAACAGCCACAGGTTTGTGAGATGGATGTCTTATCACCATTAACATTTACCTAGATCACTTGGTTAAAGTCATGTCTAAAATTATCTTTCTCCTTCTTATAATTAGTATTGGAGGAAGTTCTTTGAGGTTATGGAAATACCTCACTTCTCCTGAGATTTGGCCCACAAATACCTGTACCCATCAGTGCCTCTTGTTTATTATAATTGTTACTGTGTTATTTGCTTCATGATGATTTTTCACTTTCTCTTTTTTCTTCTATTTTCATTAACTGTAACTTTTCTGTATAAAAATTGTCTTTTCTCCTTCGTTTATTTATTCATTCAACTTTTTATGTATATCAGTATGGACTAATAGATATTTTATTCTAATGGTTAAAATCCAATACTATCAGTGTTTTGTGGTTGCTAAAGTTGTTCTAGTTTTCTTCATCTAGGTTGGTTCCTGTGTTCTGATACATTCTATCCTTTTTTCTTTTTAGCACATTCTCATTTTCTGGCTCTACAAAGTGCTCCAGGTTAATTTTGAATTTCTCCTTCCCCAGCACTGGAATTAATTACTTGGCCAAAGATCCCTAATTTCCTTATTGGACAATTGTGTTTAGAAACTAGTCCAGGCGCTAGATGTGCTTATCATGGCCAGAGTTCTATTGCTTGTAGGCCCTCTAACCAAATAGACCTAGGAAATGTATGTATGCACACTAATAAATATCTTCTTGTTTAATACTACTATACTGCATAAAGTACTTGAGAAATTGCTGTTCCCCACCATGAGAAGCACATTAACTAGGTCAGAATGTAATAATTTTTTTGTCCTTCGCCTAGGAACATCCAATTAAGATGTCTTCCACAGTCACTTAAACATTCTTTTCTTTTTTGCCCCTTCAGTGTAGTTATTATTCATTTGTAACACACTTGGATTCAGCTGTTGAAGTTTTTTTGTTTTTTTTTTTGGTACCGGGGATTGAACTCAGGACCTTGTGCTTGTGAGGCAGGCGCCGGAACCACTGAGCTAAATCCCCGGCCCTAGCTGTTGAAGTTTTTAATGTTTGTTCCACCCTGTCTTGTTGAACGTTTTTGAGAAATTAAAAGGTAATTTCTGGGTAGGATCAAGGAAGTGGTTCACTAAAATGCTAATCTTTTCAGTGCACATATCTGTTTAAGGCCTTGTACAAACATCTTAAAGTGTTCCTAAGAGTATATGAGCTTTTATGGTGCACCAAGTTACCAGGATTCTTGAAAGTGAAAATGTATTCTGCCTTGCTGCATGACTTCCAAATTTTAAAGACTACTGTAAGGCAAAAGAGGGAGAGAGACAGCAATGACAGAAAAGGTAGCTTTCTTGTTCCTATGATAATACTTTCAGGTTAGCTCCAAGTTCGATCCCCGGTACCAAAAAAACAAATACCAAAAAAACAAAAACAAAAAATAAAGTAAAAATATTAGGCCGGTCATGGTGGCACATGCCTGTAATCCCAGCACTCAGGAGGCTGAAGCAGGAGGATCGCTGCAAGTTTGAGGACCGCCTTGGCTACATAGTGAGTTCAAGTTCCACCTGAACTACACATTGAGACCCTATCTCAAAAAACAAACAAATACACAAACACAAAAAACAAATAAAGTAAAAATATTAGCAAGTTGGGACAATTTTATTGAATATAGAATTAGCCCTTCATATCTGTGTGTTCTGCATCTTTGGGTTCAACCAACTGCAGATTAAAAACATTTTTAAAACCTTGTATCTATATTAAACATGAGCAGATTATTTTCCTGTTATTTTTCCTAAACAGTAGAGTATAACAAACATTTCCTTAGCATTTACACTGACTTAGTTATTGTAAGTAATATAGAGACAATTTATTAAAGTATATGAGAGGATGTATATAGGGTTTATTCAGATCCTTTGCTGTTATATATAAGGCACTTGAACATTTGTAGAGTCTGGTACCTGCACAGGTCCCAGAAGCAATCCTCTAAGGATACTGATGAAACAACTGTGTACGTTATCTGTCTTTTTAGTTGAGGCATATTTTTTACATAAATACTTTATTCAAATATTTTCAGAAGCTCTTCAGAGAACACTGCAAATCAGTGTCATCCAACTCTGCTGTTATCTACAATGTGCAATGAATGCGCTACAGTGACTGCAGGCACCAAATGTGCTTGGGGAACGGGGACAGGTTTCTAACTAAAAATGGAGACACCAGGGAAGGGTTCCTACAGGGGTGGCTTCTGAGCCTTAATCAATTTTAAAGCTAAGAGTACTTCTAAAGGGAAGCCAATTCTTTTTTTTTTTTTTTTTTTTTTTGTAGCGGGATCGAACTTGGGTCCTTGCGCTTGGAGGCAGGCAGTGGAATCACTAAGCTAAATCCCTGGCCCTGGGAAGCCAATTATTAAAGAACTGTATCTCCAGGAACACGCTTAGCACACACACTTGCTGAATGACAGAGCCCCTGAGTGTTCACGTAAGAATTTAAACTGCATTCTGAAAGCAACGGGACCAATCTTGGATTTCTGAAAAAAGATGAAAAGAGATGACAGCTTTATTTTTGGGGGAAGATCCATCTGGTGACAATAGGTATGGGAAACTCATATGCAATATTTACACATAGAAAGGTATAAACATTTTATAGTTCACACAATTGTCACAGTAGGAAAAGAACCATTTATAACTGTTAGGGAAAAGCACAGTTAATTTTCCCAATCCCAGGGGTTATAAACTTTCCCACATAATTCCATTCTCCAATTTTCTTTTTTGTAGTTTCTGAACTTCCCTTTAAAAGTACAGAAGGTTAGCCAGGCATGGTGGCACAAGCTTATATTTCCAACACTCTGGAAGTCTGAGGCAGGAGGATTGCAAATTCAAGGGCAGTCTGGCCAACTTGGTGAGACCCTGACTCAAAGAAAAAATGGTTGGGGATGTAGTTAGGCACTAGAAAGTTTGCCTAGCATGCGTCAAGTCCCGGGTTCAATTCCCAATATGGCAAAAATAAAAAGTTTTGTTTAAATGGGGCAGCAGACCATGGCCCTGTGCTCTCTTGTCCCGTGACGTGGCTGAGAAACTGCTAGTGTAAACCACTCTTCCTTAAGCACACTTCTGAGATTCAGCAGGAGCATCTGTGAACAGATGCCAAAAAGCTGGAGTTTTTAGCTCCCTAACCCTGACTAGGGGCAAATGAATCTGAGTTTGCACTAAAATCTACTGAAAGCTAATTTAGGTCAAGGAATTTTTCTAATCCTAGAAGTTCACTGACCAAGGATTCAGTTGGGTACTGCCCATACACATGGATTGCTTCCAGGATTAGAAATAAAATATTTTCTCTTTTTCTGACTAGTGATTCATGATGCAACCTTAATAGCTTTTCTCTAAGTATGATGCATTATGAATAGAAGCACCACCGAAGAGTATTATTAGCATCCATAAAACCTGTAATTCATTTAGATGAAATTCTATAAAACAATCGCTCCAATCTGATGCAACAGGAATGCAAATTCTTGATATGTTAATTACATTCTTCAATATTCATAGTTTTCTCCAATCTTTCCTAACCTGCTTCCTTCCAGAATACAGGAATTTGTTTATGCACAGAAAAATCAAATAAAAAATATAGAGGAAAATGCCTCTAATTGTGACTGTTAGAGTTACGACTAATTGTGCTGTTAAAGTTAAGAATTTTCTAACTTTTAACTGCAAAAATAAATTAGGACAAATAAGCTGTACTTAAGCATTGCTTAAAACCATTTTTTTAAGCAAACCTTTCTTTGAAAGGCATCTTGACATAATATAAACCAAAAAGGCAACTTGAAAAGTTGAGAAATCAGTTTATCTGAAGACAATGACTGCTTTGCCAGTAACAATACACACTCAGTGGTCTTTGGAGGTTGTTTTGAGAGTGCAGGACTGTTCAGGTAGTCTAACCACTGGGGAATTCAGTTGCAGAAATCATATGCAAATATGTCTCTGCAGGGGTTTTTTAGAATAATGCAACAAACCCCTATTTGGAACCTTTGTATTTGCATAAAACCACGTGCCAAAATCCCTAGGAAATTAAGACCACATTCTTGCAAAGTTTGTTTTTAGATAATGTAATGGGGAACCGAAAGATCCCTCTCTTCTTCCTACAAAGCACACAAAAAAGTCAATTTTTTAAAAGAACCTTTAAGATTAAAGATAATTTTTTTTTTTTTTGGTACCGGGGATCGAACTCGGGTCCTCGCGCTTGCGCAGCAGGGGGCAAAACCACTGAGCTAAATCCCCGGCCCCAAGATTAAAGATATTTTTTAACTCCAAAAATGTAAAGCAAAACTCAAAAGTGTAAGCCATATCCCTGTAAGTATTAACACCTACTAGTGAATAGATTTTACAAGACATAATAGTTTTCCATGCTTAAGCTCATGGGTACTTTGTACCCCATACCTGAGTAAGATTCATATTTCCTACCTGGAGATAGGAAACACTGTGCATGATTCTTCAAGTGTCTCTTAGACCAAGGTAAGGACCTAACCTAAAATGAACTACCTCTGGGAGAGAATTTAAGAGTAGTTCGTGCTCAATCTCAGTGTTTCACACTAAAATTCAGAGGTTGTGTATTTCACACCCAGGTGATTGATCAATACTATTTTTCCATATATTCTTGGTTTAATATCTTTATAGCATTTGAGAGATCTGTTGCCTACACTGAATTTGTAAATCTGTACAAGCAGGAGCCATATTGTTATATATAGTACAAGGCGTTGTCTAAGGCTCTGTCCATCAAAGTTTGGTTATTTTTTTAGTAGTACTGGAGATTGAACCCAAGCCTTCTCACTAATTATGTTCCCAGCCCTTTTTATTATTTTTTTGTTTTGAGGCAAGGTCTCACTAAGTTGCTGGCTGGTCTGGAACTTGTGATCCTCCTGCCCCAGCTGTCCAAGATGTTGGGATTACAGGCATGTGCTACCATCCCTGGATGATTTTGGACGCTTAATAGATATCTGTCCATTCATTAGTTCACTCAAAATACAGATACTGATATTTAAAGAATGCCTGTTCTGTGCGAGGTACAATTTTAGACGCTAGGAAATAATGTAAAAAAAAAAAAGCCCTGCTCTTATGAAGCTTATTTCTAAATAAACAAACAAAGAGAGTGTGAGAAATGATAAATTATACAGAGGAAAATGAAAGCAGGAGAGGAAAAGGTCATAAGGAGTGGAAGGGGGATATCAATTTTAAAAGAGAGGTCATGGTGGGTGACAGTTAAGCAAAAATATTAAGCAAGTAAAGAAGCAAATCTCAAGATTATCTACAGGAAAAGTGTTCCTTGCATGTTCAAGGAACAAGGAGGATAGTGTGGGTGGAGTCAAGCAAATAAGAGGGTGAAGGAAGCTGGAGAAGCTGTGTAGAAGTTCAGTGTTTAACCTGAGTAGGATGGGAAGTTTCCAGAGAGCTCAGAATAGAATAATATTATCATATACTTTACTTGCTTAACAACCTTGGTGACTGTTGTGTTGAAAAGTGACTTGAGAAGCTCAAGGGCAGTAGTAGGGAGTCCAGTTAGGTGACTACCAAAGTAACCCAGGTGAGATAGGATCGTAGTTGGGACCAGGATGGCTGTGGTAGCAGTGCTAAGAAATGATTAAAAGATTAGATAGCTCCTAGAGTCAGAGTCAAAACATCAATCAGTGAGAGACAGGATGTGGTTTCTGAAAGAAAGACACAAGAGTGATATTTTGGCCTAAATAAATGGAAGGATGACTTGCCATGAACTGAGATGGTGGGAGTGGCATTTCTGGAATGTTAAATTGGAAGCATCTGTCAAATAGGCAAATAGACAGCGAAGCTGGCATTCAAGAGAGAGACCTACACTAGAAATTTGGGAATTATTAGCATATACATGGAATTTACATGGCAGTGGTTATTGTAGATAAACAGAACAAAAGAAGTCTGTGGACTAAGCTCAGAAGTATTCTAAGAGATAAAAAAGATTTTGTAAGAAGAGAAACCAGAGACTGCTCTAAGGAGGAAGGAGTGATCAATATGTCAAATTAGATGAAGACTGAGAAGTGACCACCATATTCAGCTAAGATGAGGAGGAGTTTGAAAGAGAGAGATAGAGGATGAAAGCCTGATGGACAAAGTTCAAGGAGGAATAAAGGTGTTTGATTATAAATAGCCCCTTTGAGGAATTTTGCTATAAAGAAGAACAGAAATGGACAGTATTAGTTTATAGTGCAAACAAGATCTAGAGAGAATATTGTAAGGAGGAAGAGCACAGAGGTTTAAAAATCAGAGAGGGGATGAATATCTCTCTACTCCTTAAGCAGTGGCTGTACATAATGACTGATTCGGGCTGGCATTTTTGATCTCTAGTTTTCAAGACTGATTATTTTCCGCCTAGCTCTTATTTTCAGGAAAAGAAGATATTTTTAATAATAATATTTGACAAAGTGTTTTGAAGAATAATATGTAGAATATGTCCAAAGAGAAATAGAATTGAGGTAATGAAAGAATGTAGTAAAATAGCTATTACATTAAGATGCTAGTAAACAAGGGAATTTGGCCCAAGTGATAGTTCTCAAACCAGGCTGTACTTCAGACCCTTGACCCAGATATACAAATCAGCCAATATAGAAGTGAAGCCAGGATACTTGTATATTTAAAAACTTGCACAGGTGATCCTGGTATGTAAGTGACCCATCTACCTTATCTTGAAAACCCTCATCCTATCATAGAGCTGCTATACGATCTGCCTTCCTCTCGGCTGCCTGTGGCAATGTAGCCTGATATTCACCATCATCAAGAATCATGATCAGCTCAAGACAGTTTTACCAATTACTATTATAATTGTTTTCTATTTGAAATGTTGGGACTTCTATGCTTTCAGATTCTCACCTGTACAGCCCTGTGTGCGTGTGGGTGCTGGGCTTGAACTCAGGGTCTCTCCGTACCAAGCATACATACATTACCACTGAGCAATAACCGTGCCCCCAGCACAGCTTCTTGATTTAGTCCTCTCTTCCCTCTTCAAAGCCTCAAAGTCAAGTTTTCTCTCCCTACACCCTTTCCCCCTTTTTCTCCCTTCACTGTACCAATAGGGAAACTCAGCATGTTTAATACAGGCAGTTGCCCTGAATACCCTGACCTATGCCAACCTTCCCTAGTGCCAAGCTATTTGTGAAGCAGCTGGTCAGTTCCAGCTGTTCAGTCCAGGCAGTCAGCAGGCACAACTCCCTGTATAGGGAATTATAGCTGGAGCATTAGGGAGTAAACATTTTAGGTCCTTTCCCTATGAAAGAACATTGAATTCTATATTGATTCAAAGGGATATTGGCCAGACTATCTATAAAGATAGCACTCTGGTCCACAACATGAACCAACTCAAGCCCAAGAAGGCAATGTGCTATCTACAGTAATCAGTACAAGGCTATCGCGATGAGTCTAGGAAGCCAAACAATAACCCCTATAGCAATTTGCCCAAACCACCAGGACTGATAACTTTCTTAGCTTTTTTCCTAACTTGTAGGACCAATCGGATAAAGTCAAATATGCACACCTAAATGATCAAGTGGATTCCTCACTTCTAATTAGGCTACCCATAACTTCCTCTTGCCAACAGGCTGCAATGGACATAGCTGTAACCTTGCCATTCCTCTGCCTGCCTTTTGAGCTGCTGGTTAAAAGTAATGGTGGCTGACTCTTTGGCTATGAATAGCCTGTTCTCATTTGGGTGGTCTTCACTTACTTCCACAAACAGGAAAGTGGGGCTGCATGCTTAAATGGATCACTGAACTGTTTTTTCTGGTGAGAAATGCTATGTACTATTATAGGGAGGCTATGAGTTGCCCTGGAAAATAATATAGCAGTAGCGAGTGTAGGGTGTGGTTCATGGATAAGCCGTAGGTCCAGGCTGCCACAGTGCAAGTCCTGGCTCTGTCACTTCCAGTTGTGTAAACAGTTCCAGTTGGGCAAGTTACTTTAGCAGTTTGTACCACAGTGTCCTCATCCGTTAAAACACTAACGATCACAGTACCTGACTCATAAAGTGACTGGAAGGGTTACATAAGATACCCATGGATGAAAAGCACAAATATCTGGTTTCAATGCTATGGAGAGAGAAAAAGAATCTACCAGACTGGGCTGGACTTCCTGAAAAGCAGCAGTGACCAGCTCCTGAGTGTTGACTGGCCCTTTTACATGTGCTTCCTTACCTTCATTGCCTCCACCAACCTGCTTCCTCCATTTATGAAACTACCTGGCCTCATTCACTACTTGTACACCAGACTAAAAACATTTTTCATTCATAAATTCAATAACTCTAGGAAATCTACAGGTGCTAGTATTGCCTATGCTACCATCCAGTTCAAAAAATCTGACAAGAAGGATTTTATCTCTCAAGTGCATCCTGGAAATTTCCCTTTTCCAGAAATTAGTCAGTTTTGCTGAGATTTTTACTGAAAGGTCAAACCTAAAATCATAGAACTTAAAAATACATAAACAATTTTTATGTAACTAGAAGCACAATGCTACAGTTCCAGAAAGTGTAACCATATTGTTTATCAACAACTAAGAAAACTTCCTCTTACAGGACTTAGGCTATTTTAGTAAGAAAAATCACTATTTCAGATAATTAGAGCTGTTTTGACATAATCATGTTTACTTTCAATTAACATTAAATGTGATAGCATGAAACATCAATTTAACACGAAACACCTTTGCTTCACAATGATTTTGCCTGAATTATTTGGTAATTACATACAACACTTTCAACAGACAATTGCTCAACTTTCCAACATCTACATAAAACGGAGTTTTGAAACCCGCCAGTTTCCTAGATTAAAAACAAAACTCACCCTTTAGAATAAACCTTCTCTCGGCCAGATTTGATAAATAAGGAAGATATATTTAATTAAGAAAACTGAAAGCCAGTTTAATTACAAACGTTTACTTTAGAGTTTTCCTGGTCAGTAATCAAGTTCAGGGATCGGAGGCGCAATAGAAACACCAAAGAGTAAACACTTTAAATTTCTAAAAATGTTTCAACATGGAAATTATATTCCAGGGTGACCCTGCAGGGACAGAGGACATCCGGAGCGCGCTGCTATTTGAATACTGTGCGCCGGGTGAGGCAGGAAAAGTTTAGGATTGGAAGATGCTCTCGCTCCAGCATCCGTCTTATTTAAACCTCCGCTCTAATTATTGCAGCGATATCAACAAGGGCTTGCGGGGAGGAGAGCACATGCCCGACGAGTCCCGGGGCCTTCGGAAGGGGCAGCCTTCAGGCCGGTGTGCCCTGCCGCCCGCCGCCCGCACTCACCCAGGCCGCGCCAGCCCAGCGCGCCGTCGCAGCTGTCCAGGACCGCGCACAGCTCGCCCAGCAGCGCGGGCGGCAGGTCGAACAGCAGCGTGTGAGTCGAGAGTGCGCGGCTCCCCGCCATGCCGAGACCCGGGCTGGGCGCTGAGAGCTGCCGAGCCGGGCCTCGCCCCCTTACACAACCGCGGAACTCCTGCTCCGCCACTGTGGCGGGCCTGGGCCCAGGCCGCAGCCGCCCTGGAAGGGGCGGGCCCCATGTGACGCACAGCGCTGCTCGGGGAAAGGCCCTAGCAGCACCTCGCCCTCCATGGGGTCCTGGCCTGGGCTCTCCCACCACCCCGGCTTCCTGGTGCGGGCACTTTCCTAACCGGGATTGGGATGTGACTGGGGAGACCAATAAAAGAGACAGAGCTGGAGAAAAGACCAGAATGGCAGAGCTGCCCAGGTGCCCACCACTCCCTGTCCCTACCCGAGGTTGGACTGTCTTCTGGTGAGAGAGTATGAAGTCTGTCCTTAGACGGTTAGAAGCTTATTTTGCTTAATCACCTAGGAACACAGAAAACCCTGAAAAACTGCGAGAATAATCACTCAAGATCTCATTCAGCTAAACACAACCTGTCAACGATTTTTGCTTCTTTTTCTCCCAACCCTTGCTGAATTTAACAGATGAAAACGCGTGTACATGCAGTGATTACTTGAATAGATGGATGTCGAGGCCAACAACAGAAAAATAGGAGAGACCAAAAGGAAGCAAAACTGTTTCCTTCTGAGGCAGCCCCTCCTCTATATGGCTATCTGGTTTTGAAATAGGGCATATAAGGATGCTCTGTGGACCTCCAAATACTATAAGGGAACTATTATAACCCCCGAACCTGCTAGATGTTCAGTATGCCAAGTTCATGTTCTCTTAAGTAGAAGAATGAATTCTAGAAACAACGGAGGTTAACAGTAGAAAGTATTTATTCTAAGATAACTTTTAAAAGAGATGGAAAGGGAGCTGGAGAGTGGGTTGCCCACAGATTCTGCTTCTCAAGGAAGTTTTATAGAGCAAAACCAAGAGGTGAGGCGGGTATAAGGTGAGACAAAATTATGGTCAACCAATAAGGTTACACATTAAGTCGCTTAGGTAGTGTTAAGTGGGGATCAAATGGGAAAGCAAGTCACATAGTAGGTGTACATGACTTAAACAAGGACTTTTCCTGGAAGGAATGGAAGGGGCTAAGGAAGTTTTGCGCCTATTTACAATATCAATCACCGCTGTTCATCCCTAGGGAAAGTATGTGAGTGTTGTGATTTCTCCTTGTCTTGAAGCCTGACCCGTAACAAATGCTCCTCCAGCCACACTTGTGTTATGTTCTGTTCTTCTGCACGGACTCTGTCAAGGGCCCAGACTGGTCTGACTGCCTATAATATTTTAACTAATTTAGCTGTCTAAAATATAACCCCCTGTAAAGAGCTATCCCTAACTGTGGTTAGGGGAGAAGGGATGTGGTTTTGATCTAGCTGTTTTGAACTGAGAAAAGCCAGTGTAGGGGAGACTGCAGTCAGAGGCCTTCTTTAGAGAGCTAATCTAATGGGCCTTGGCTAGAAGTCATGTAGTTTAGCAGTTATGAACTCCTGTTGATGTAAGCAGAATAGATGTAACTCCCAAACTTGCTATATATCCCAAACTCAAGTTCGTGTTCCCTAAAATTAAAGAATGATTTCTAGGAACAAAGGAGGTTAAGAGTAGGACAAATTTGAGAGAAATATAGCTTCTGTGTAAAAGAGACAGAAGGGGGACCAGAAAGTGGTTTGCCCGAGGACTCTTTTCCAAGGGGGTTTCATGGAGCAAAGCCATGAGGTGAGGTGGGTTCAAAGTGGGGCAAAACTATAATCAACTAGTAAGATTACAAGTATAGCCACTTAGAAATATTGATTAAATGGGGATCCAGTGGAGAAGCAAGACACATAGCAAGCATACAAGGAGCAAACAAGGATTTTTGGTGAGGGATGGGTCAGAGATCTCTCTTGAAAGGGATGGGTTAAGGCCCTGGTCCCCCACACAGGTGACTGATACCTATTTAGAATATCGATCACTGCTATACATCCCTGGGGGAAGCACATGGGTGTAGTAGTTTCTCTTCCTTTTACAATGCTGGCCTTCAGTGAATGTGTCTTCATTGTCCTCCATGTTGGCTCCTTGAGGGCTGGCCTGAACTGCCTACAAGATGTCTAATTAACTTACCTATCTACAATATTTCCCCCTCTGAACAAGTGCCTCTTACTGCCGTGAGAGGAAAGGGGTGACATTCTGGCTGCTTCCGCTGAAAAGGGTCATAATTACAATTGTCAATCAGAGTTACTCTACAGAGGGCACCAGACATTGTCATCTTAGGCATATAGCCTTGAGTCTGCAGGAGACAATGCCAAAGAAACAGTTAAGAATACATGGACCAGGGCCAGGGATTTAGCTCAGTGGTTCTGGCACCTGTCTCACAAGCGCAAGGTCTCAAGTTCGATCCCTGGTACCAAAAAAAAAAAAAAAAGAATACATGGACCAAATAATGTCAGCAGGATTTTTATGAATATAGCCAACAAGCATTTCCATCAGGAGAAACTGGTGATAGCCTCACACAAAGAGGACAAGGAGAAAGTCCAGAGGACTTCAGATTCTGACACAGAAGTTGTATTGTAGTTTAGCAGTTATGAACTTTTTACAAGGTCAGTCTGGTAGATCCTGGTAAAAGAAGTCTAGCACATTTGTCATTGGCTCCATTTGTATGACTGCTTGGAGATTGGCAGCTTCTAGGCAAGAATAAACAAGCTTTTTTAGAAATTAGAGCATGTGTACTCTAAGCATGAGCACTAGAATGGACGAGCAGGTTGGGGAGAGAGTCACACTTAGGAACTGAGATAGCGATTATAACCTACTGGCTCTTAGACTCTTACTGATGGAGGTTATCTATGAGCCTGATATTTTGTCATAAGTCTCTCTAATTTTAGCTGCAAGACGACAGAGACAATTTGAAGAACAAATTTAGCTAAGAAATTTTAAAACTCTAGTTGAGCTCTTAGAAATTTTACTGTTGTTTTTTTCCTAAAGATCCATTACCATGGTCATCTACTGGCATAGCTGGAAACTGCCAGAAGGGATCAGCGATTAGAGCCCCTTTTTATATCTAGCTTTATTACTATGGCATTGTTTTTATATCTCTTTTGGTCATTCTTTTCAGCTGGGTGTTTAAAACCAAGTTAAAGTGAGACTTGTGCCAATCTAAATCAACTTCTTGCTATCTATCAAGGCATTACTTTGGAACCATGCATAGAGCCTCTCAGCTCCTCTGTCAGTGTCAGCCATCAAGATGGGTCACAGCGTTGCTTGACCATGTTGCTTTCAGTTAAATTGTGGAAGACTTGTTCCTCTTGGTGACCCTCCTTTGGCACACGGTACATTTGTTGATTTGGTATCCAGCAACCTCCCTGCTCAGAAGGTTGAGTGACTTACAAAACATGTAAGATCTCATAGAAAAAGTTCCCTCATGTACTGGATTCTTTGTTGACCTTGAGGGACCAGGGCCAAATATTGGCTGTTCTCTTAGCCCAGCTACCTTTCTAGTTTTTGTCTCCAAACTTTAGTTGTTGTACACCCAGAAGAGAAGATCAGTGACATAAGTAGTGGAGTAGGACCAGTGAGCTTAACTATTATAATTTTGGCTGGACATTAAGCACTTTGAAATATAAAGTATAGTTAGAGGACTGTTATTTTTATTATCCATGGTTGTTCTAAAAGTCAGATCCCTATAGAATGCTAACAGACAATGGATATATATTATATAGAGAAACTTGAGATCCAGAGCCACACATAGTATTTTAGCATGACAATCACAATGACATTATCTTTGTAACACACTTAAATGTCCATCATAGTATGGAATAGTCTTTTAGTCAAACACCTCCATCTGATTTCAAGACAAAGAAAACTCCTATTTGTTATCCTTTAATAGGATGTCATCTAAAGAGAACATACGTATCAGCCTATAAATGTACCTTAGAACGTTATAATGTCTAGCCCTTAATTTTAGTGTGTGAAATTGTTTGGCCTATTTGGTATCTGAGGATCCCTAAATGTGATAACACATACAATATATACATCATATAAGTTTTTTAAGAAAAACTATTATTTGACTGGTTATCTCATGCTGCTTGACATGTACCTCTTATCACAAGTAGCTGGGGTGCAAGAGAAAGCCAGATACCTGAGTCAAAAAAGAGTGTTACCACAAACAATATCTTACAAGACTTGCACATCCAGAAGGCATGAATATATTTTGTACACCATGAAATAACAATGAGTACCACAGTTATATGAAACTCTTTTTGTTCCAAGAGCATTTTTAATAAAAAATTATTTTCCTATAGAAAACTTACCTGTTTGACCATGACCAATGTATACAAATCATAATAATATGTTTAGCAATGTTTAATGGGGTGTATTTCCCACAAGGCTATGGAAATTACTGGGGTCCCTTTTGTAAACAAAGTCTATAACAAAGATATCCAGGCAGCTGCTCCCTTATTTACCAAGGGGAGTCCTGTCCAGTAGTTTTCCCAAGCCCAAGGGTCTTTATTTAATTATCTTAACAAATTTTTAGATGACCTATGAGACCCAGGTTGTAACAATTAACACATTATTTTTGACCAACAAAAGAGTCTCGAGTTACTATATACAAACAATATGTACTGTATTTGTAAAACCAGTCTGGACATCATTTTGATCATCTGGCAACCTATGGGAAGCATGTCTTTAATGACATTTATCTATAAGCCAACTTAAGTTATAGGCAGACATCTTTAAAAATCCAAAAGGGCAAAAAGAAGAAAAAAATTGTTGAGCTCAAATAAAACAGATTTGTGTGTTATAACAAATTGAACAGACAACAAACACATAAGACAACTTGGTTATAAACCAGAACACACTCAAATGTATTTGGCCAAGTTAAATTATAATAACCCTTTTATAATTTTTAGGTTTGTAACTATAAATTAGACTAGTCAAAACTTTTGTAGGTAAGCAAAGATAGTTTTAAAATGGGACCTAAGCTGATGGTTTATCTGTCTGGAATACCCAGCTATACAGGCTTCTCATTGTTGCTTTCATAACCACAGTTGTTTGATAGCCACATATAACTGTTCCCTCTAGAGGAACAGACTGTTAAAGATAATTTTAACTATTTCCAGGGCAGTGCACTCAGGCTGGATTTAGGTTTAAAAAGAGAGTAGGTGGCACTCTTTGGAGCTAAGTATGAATTCCAAACAGGGAAGGAAGAAGGCCTCTGTATTCCATTTTGGCTCTAGGGGGTAGGCAGGTCATGTATGGGTACAGAAAAATACTAAATTGCTTTCTTAGTATGTGAGGCTGGAACATTTTCAAATGTGCAAGAATACAATCTAAAGGAGTGAGAGGTTTAGATATGGAGTCTCCCATCTGAAACAAGAGAAACAG